GGTTGATCTCAGACGAAATATCAGTACGAATACAGAGGGCTAGTTTCGCATATGCCAGTTTACGCCGTCTCTGGCGTAGACGTGATATCCGACTCTCGACCAAAGGGCGTGTGTACTACTCAGCAGTCCCCTCCGTCCTCCTTTATGGGTGTGAGACCTGGCCACTGAGAGCGGGTGACATGAAAAGATTATCTGTCTTCGATCATAGGTGTCTGCGTTCTATCTCCCGCGTGAAGTGGTATAATAAGGTGAGCAATATTGAGGTTAGGCGCCGAGTGCTAGGTAAAGTGTGGAAATCAATAGACGTGACTGTGAAATTACATCGACTGAGATGGTAAGGACATGTGTTACGAATGCATGTCTAGTCATCGCCTTCCTCGACGGGCAGACTGGAAAAGAGCTAGCGGCGGTCAAACCGAAACATGGCACCAGTCAATGAAATCCACAACTGTTAGTCTAAGCCACGTAGGAAGGTGTAGACTTCCTGACTGGTTGGGGTCCTCGGGACAGTAAAATCCAATGGTTGGAAACAATTGGTGACATGGCTCAAAATCGTTCTCAGTGGCTGTCACAGATGCATCCCCTCCTTGTGACTTATGATTTCCAATGAAACTGTTTTGTTCTTCGTTATTACTATGGCTTTGTCTCACACCTCAACTTTCTGTCTATATTATGCATTTCTCCTACTTTCTTCTCTTGCTTTGTGTGCTACATGAAGGGAGTGTGATGACTTGAACTGCCGCACATATGTGCAAAGTTCTATGTCGAAAACCGACTGACCGACCACTGAATTGTCTACAAGCTCAGTGTGTAACTGGAAGGTGCACTGTTTGAACCCTAGCGGTGGGCGAGTACTGATGAAGGTTGCCGTGCACCAGGACGAAAGAGCTGGCTGTCCAGTACTCCAGTGATGGTTTTCCAATACTTCTCTAATCGATATCAGCTAATGATGAAATCCTGTAAGATAAACATTGTTTATTATTATTATTATTGTTTCCCTTAGTTCCTAGAGGAACATAGGGCCTAAGCCGCATGTCTCCATTGCGTTCGGTTCTCCGCCAACATTTTCACCTTGCTTCACGTCTACCCACATGCTTTCATCTCCTTTTCGCATAACCTTCTCCTGAATGTCACCCTCACACTGAAGACACCAACTCGCCGCTTCCCATTCACCCTCCACTCGAGTGATGGTCTGGCGTGTGATGGCTTTCTCAGAGTATGACCAATCCGCAAACGACAACAATATCAATAATAATTATTATTTGTATATTTTCCTATAAATTAAACTATCCTCTGAGTTGTTGTTAATTATTATTATTATTGTTATTATTATTATTTAACAAACAAAGAAAACGCCAAAACAAAAAACAAACAAACGAACAAAACAAAACATAACAAGAGTAAATAGGCGTAAACAAGAAGAAGAAGAAGAATAGAGAAAAATCCTCCTACGCATGTAACACTGTATTAATTTCAAGTGAGTTATTTATTCTTTTATTTTGTTTATTGTGATTATACAATCATCAGCAAGCAAATTAAATGAGAATAATCCTCAAGTAAATGGGAATTAATGATAAACTATGCTAGATCAGATAGACAGATAGGTAGATAGATAGATGAATGGATCTATCAATCTATCTATCTATCGCAGTTGAACGAAAACAACAAAAATCACATTAGAATGGCCTTAAACTCTCTTGTTATCTACTCCTCCATCCATCCATCCGTCCGTTTGTCTATTTCTTCAATCAAAAGTGAAGGTCTCTATTTCTTTCTTTTTTACTTGTTGATGAGTTTTTTACAATTAAGTCTGTGTGGAAAATAAAAATAATAATAATAATAATAATAGTAATAGTAAGGCGGAAAATCATTACAACTTTCTGTTTACTATCAACAAAATCGAATTAAACTAGACGAAGTTGGCATAGAGCAAAAATTTACTAGAAAATAGGATTATTGGCAATAGAGTCATTTTTATACATGCATAGTGTATCTTTGTGTGTGTGTGTGTGTATATATTTGAGCACACCACGCACACCTACACACATACTCAAATCCCTAGAATATGAAGTAGTGGATTATTCAGGCGAAAATAATGATAATAATAATAATGATAACAGTACTGACAATAATCATTCAACAGCTACAATTAGAAGAGGACGAAACAAAGATACCCGAATTTATAAATATCCATGTTTTCGGTCAGTTTGGATATCCGAGTCTTGCTTTGAACAGTTAGTTAGTTAATTAGTTAACAATATTCCTAGTAAGCTATAAAGAATGTCAGTGAAATTATGGCTGGTCGGTTGGTTGGTTGGTTCGTTGTTAAGACAACAGAGGTATTAAAATGAAGCATCAACTGGGTGAGGATAAGTAAACGAATAATTAAACAAAAAAAGATAATTCACAGTATGTGCGTATGCAAGTATGTGTGTATGTGTATGTGTATCTATATATATGTGTGTGCTTGTATTCATCGTTGGTTGTCTCGTATGTATCATTTATTATTGATGCACACTAACTAACTAGTGTGCATGTTATGATTCAACGGTTGCATTCGACACTTTATCCAGACGACGTTTCAACTTTTCAGCTAATTCAGGTGTAGCCAATGATTGGTTCAGATTGTTACCTTGATAGTCTAGCGGTTGAGTTTGACAGGGTTGTGGATGAGGATGATGATGATTTGAAGTCTGGTGGTTATCCTGTAGGGTAGAAAAAGAAACGAATAAATAAGTAAAAAAGAAAACAAAAATTGATTCCATCGTAAACTCAATTTACACAGATAATAAATAATGAATGACTTAAATTATAATAATAATAATTATTATTATTTCCTTTAATTCCTAGAGGAACATAGGGCTTCAGCCGTGCGTCTCCATTGAGTTCGGTTCTCTGCTAGAGTCTTCACCTGGCTCCAAGTCTTCCCACACGTTTTCATCTCCTCTTCACTTCACATGACCTCCTCCAAGTCACCCTAACACTGACGACCAACTCGCCGCTTCCCTTTCGGGTTCCACTCGAGCAATGGCTTGTCTAGTGATGTCACTTGGTGGTTGGTTTCCTCAGAGTATGACCAGCCAATCCATCTCCATTTCTTCCTGCCTATTTGTTTCACAATCGGTTCCCTTAAATTATAAGGCAGTCAGTAAAGCGCAAAAGTCAAAATAAAAATGTGTCTTGTCTAGTGGAGTATCATTATTTTACTAACTGCTTCATTTTTGTGTGCCTCTTCATGGTGCATTAACTCTACTTTACTTGATATACTTGTGTGTGAAAATTTCTGAGGTGATTTGTCATTTTTCAGTTGGACTAGTGAGAGCAGCAATAATGTGTGCATCGGTGTAACACAGTGTACGTACATTAGGAAAGTCAACAACTCTACATTGATTTCATAATTTGTAAATAAAACAATACATTTGAAATAATAGAGATTTGTAGCTCAGGTGGATGATTTGCAATTAACAGTGTTCTCTGAGCTGGTTGGTTTAGTTGCGTAGCTTTCGTCGTCCTTCCATTATGGGTAAATTTTGTTTTGATAAAGTCTCACAGTGTTATACAGTAATGTTTACTGATGACGTTTCGAGCACAATTTATTGCTCATAATCATATCAAGGTAATCACACGACTTCCTAAATTCATTTATATAGTTCCATTGTTTTTCACTTGATTTTTTTTGTATACAAAGACTAAGGATTGTTCTCTACCATCATGTCCTTCTTCATAAGTGGAGATGAGCGATAGATGTGCATCATGAAATTTGCTTAACATTTCATTCTTGTCAGTTTTCTCATCAAGAGTAACAAACGTATCATCATCATTTACTTGTTTCAATGGACCATTTTCAAGCTTAGCAAGGGAAAAATGTGACAAAATTGAACCTAATGGGAGAACCGTCGAGTTTTCTGTAATATTAGTTGTTGAATCTGAAGTGTACATTCATAGGACATCTTAGAAGCAGCTCTTTCAGACTAATAATTGGAATTCCCATAACGAAATGCTTTTTTAGTATCTGTTGGCAGATGAATTCCACAGTTTCCATAAGTGGTAAATTGGTGAACAGTGATGCGACATCTAAGGATAGTGAGCATCTGCTTCCCATATATACTGATATAATGTAAGTTAGAAATGAATTCAAAGACGTCTCTAACACTGTGATTTAGAACAAGAAAACCAGCAAAATTGCGTATACCAGATCAATTGTGGGGATTGTAACGCCGTCATGTAGGAGAAACTTCCAGACAGGTAAATGTAAGAGTGAAAGAGCATAAACAATGTCTAACGGTGGTTCCAAAGACCTCTGAAGACTTGAAAAAGCTAGAAAACAACTCAGCGATTGCACTGCTTTCGATAGAAACGGGACACAAAATCGACTTTGATAAGACTAAGGTTTTACAGAAAGGTTTTGGTTCGTATAAAGAAAGACTGACTGCAGAAGCCCTACATATATGGGTGAATCCCAACAGTTTGAACAGACGTGAAGGTGTGATCTTAGCTGATGCATGGCAAATCCTGACTAATAAATAAATCGGATATGTATCAACAACTAGTCACACTTGGTCAAATTCCCGATTGTCTACGTCTTCTTATGGAGAGAATAACAAATTTATAAAATTATATTTGTTAAAAAATCTCAATTATTTTGTAACTATCCGGTCAAATCTTGATCACAGCTCATATGAGAATAACAAATGATTTATGACTGCTCTCCACACACACACACACGTAAACACACACCATTCTATACTGCATATACACATATATTTTAACAAAAGTAGAGTAATTTTGAAAGTCTGAGGTCAAATTTTGATCACAGTTCATATAAAAATTTTTTTTGTTTATTATACCTATTGATAGCTGTTTCTTGATTTTCATGACAGGACAAACAATTTAAAACAAGAGATGTACTTTTATATATAAACATACTATTTTATTTATTTATTATACATGTTGATGACTGTTGCATGACTCATGATTGGACAAAGTTTAAAAACAAGAGTTGTTCCTTTTATATATAAACCTCTGTTCTGTTGATTTCGATTAATTTCCCTGAAGAAGTTCGCACCAGAGTGCCGAACGAAACGTTGGAATAAATCATTTCAATTTCGCTGGAATTTTACAAATATAATTTTTTACAAATGTCTACTTCTTACTCAGCGCTCAATTATTTTGCAACTATCCGGTCAAATCTTGATCACAGTTCATATGAGTAGCTTGTATTATTCTAAAAAAAACAGTACTTATGATACAGTGTGGAATCTTCAGCACTTCACACAATATTACTGCATCGAATTTACTCGACAACAGAAAAAACAAATATAAAAAAAAATAATATTACACGATTGATAATGGCAGTTTATCTGGAAACAGTCACAGTGACAGTAAAGTCAAAAATGTAAACTAATGATGATAATAATGTTAATAGCAAAATTACAAGTTAGTTGAAATAGTGTCGCCAGAGATTACATATAGGAGAGAATAAAACGGCCAATTATATTACTAACTGCATAGTAAGTAGTAGTAGGTTTCTCGCTGAACACTATCTCTATCACACAGGAGGTGGGTGGGTCAAATAGGCTATGGTTGAGTTTCTCTACTTGGTTGTACGAGCATATACTCTTTTATAACGACATCTAGTCAATCCTACCTGATGAGATGTAAGGCGAGGAGCGTTGTGATACAGAGAAGGTGTTGAGAGTCAAACAACATGGATTTAGACCATTTCTCATATGAATTCAGGTGTTTATCAACTACTGTATTAATAAGCTGACTAAGAAGGACTACACTACTTGTTTTATACTGACCACTTTTAATACCCTTAGCAATATGACGCATAGTACCTTTTGAGCAACCCAGGAAACATTAAGTGGGGACAGTAACGGATAATGGGTGAGACGCAAGATGAATCATAAATGTTTTGATGATCAGAGTCTCTTTAATCTCCCAATTATGTCTGTCCGTTTATCTATCTGTCTGTCTGATTTGGACAAGAAAAAAATACAAGCCAGTTAATTATGTATATATCCATCCTAATGACATTTCCTGGTATACCAATCTAAGATTGAAAAAAGCCCAGAACTGATTAGACTAAAACGTAGATATGTTCAATTTGATTTATGGATGTCATTAAATTAGTGTTAATAATAATACAGTGTTTATTCATAAGTTCAGGTTGTGGTAATCTATTTGATACGAAGGTAGATTTCATCAGCAATCGCCATGAATTAAAGAACTACTGAAAAACTGGAGAGAACACATGGTAGCTGTTTTGTTCTAGTTTCTTCAGATCCTTCGACAGTGCACACCAATGACACTCCATCCGGGGATCTTGAGATTACACGGAGAGTACATTACGTGTGAAATATTTAATAGCCCATGAACCCTTATGTCTATAACTGGTAAATATATGTTACCATACTCTATACACTGTCGACCACACCGTTCACTAACCTATTACTGAACCTCAGATAGTGTGTATCTTGTCTCCACATGGCTTTTCTGATATTATAATAGTGAGTTGGGTTTGTACAAGAGAGGTTAAAGATTAGGGGCAGTTTAACTTTAAAAAAATAAAAATCTGAGTGGTAACACACATTCGTCTTGTGAATTCTATTTCTGGTATCATTGTAGCTGCGCGCTGCTGAAAAATCTCCAAAAAGATGAACCAGTTGTTCAGGGATTGTTTAATTGATCTCATTTGTTGGAAAGGCTTTTCGTGACGCGCGCTGACCAAGTTTCTGACCCATATAGAAGAAATAACTGACTGACTTCCTGACTTAACATGGGTGTTGGAAATCCAAATTTCATTCTTTATGCTGAGTTGGTGGGGAAGAAGCTCCAGGCTGATCCCAGAATACTAGTCTGTCTTGTCTTTCCATTTCTGGTTTTGACATCCCCTCATCTGTGATGTCGTCTCTGTAGTTGGGACGATGCAGTTTAGATGAGAGAAGGAAGTGATGTCTTTCAAATTTCCTCCGTTGATAGTGCTGGTTGTTGTTGTTGGTGGTTGGTTATCTTCATCACCTCCGTCTTCTCTATGTTCACCTGAAGTCCTGTATTCGCTGGCTGCTTCTTTTGCCAGTTTGTTTGTTTTCACCTGGAAGTCATTTAGTTTGTGTCACAATAGACATAAATCATCCACACACGAAATTCAGATCTTCTTATCGATCCTGCATATTTCTGTCTTCTCACTCCTTGTTCACAGTCTGGTGCATAATCGAGTCCAACACAATTATAAATATCATTGGTGATAATAGGCAGTCTTTTATCCTACTCCTATATTCACTTCATTGGGTTTGCTTAGTTTTCCTTTGCCTATGAGATCACTTGACACGTGACAATGTCATATAGCCAGCTGTTGAATGAGGTTGATGAATACTTGGGGCACTACATTCCGTATTGTTGGATTAATTTCCAAATTACTTCGCGGTCAACGCTGTCTGTCGAAGGCCTTTTCGAAGTCAATCAAGTTGAGGAAGACGTTTGACTGCCATTCTATGCTTTGTTCGATGATGATAGATTTGGGTGCAATTTCATCAGTACATGATTTACCCTTCCTAAATCCAGCCTATTCTGCATACAGAGCATCTTTTATCCGCTCCAGAATAACGGGATCCAATGGTTTGCTTGGCGCGGACAAGAGCATGACTCCGCGCCAGTTTTCGCAAAGGTCCATAGTTACCCTTTTTCGGTAGTTTGACAAGGTACCTTTCCATTCTTCCCAACGATTTGCAATAATGGCATGAGCAGATCCGCGGCAGTCTCCGGATCCGTTTCCAGTGTTTCAGGAGGGATTCCGTTCGGTGCGGCCCTTCAGAAACGGCTGAACATGTTTCCTTGAACATCACTTTCAGGGAGTTTCAGAGTTCTTCTACACAGCTTTCCTCAGTGTCGCTACGTGATATCTCCGAATTCGCTCTGATGGCTGCAAGTAAAGGTGTCTTTTTTAGTTTCGTGTTGAACTTGAATTATGGTCTATCTCCAGTTGCTTGGATGGTTTTCAGTAATGACTGTGTTATCAACTATGTAGATCAGACTAGTAGACTGGGGATATTCAGATTATCGGAACAAGAATTTACCTTACCTTGTAACCAGAAGGTCCTGGGTGTGTACTGGTCAAGAGTCCCAAACTAGGACGAAACAGCTGTCCAGTACTCTCAGGTTTTCCATTGTCAGCTCATGATGAAATCCTGTAACCAATCAACCAAATCCCTACAAACCAACACTTAAATAAGTGTAGAATGGTTGACCTCGTGAAGATAAATAATCTAGAAAACGACTCAGCAGTTGCAATGCATCTATTAATACACAATCACTCGATAGAGTGGAACACAGCTACAGTTCTAAACAGTAATATAGGTAGGTGAAGTGCTGGCGGGTGGCAGGCAATAACAGAATTAAACTTTACTACCACTGTACCCAAGTTCTATTCGTATATCAATGACATCTTCTCTGCTTATCAGACAGACACCTACACGCTCGTTTATGTTACAACCGGAAGAGTGTTGCTTTTTTCTGATAGTGATGAAGAAACGCTGCGCACAAAAGATAAAGGTAAATTAAAATCAACTGTCTATTTTATTTTATTCCTCCTTCATGTTCCTAGTGGAGCATGGGGCTTTAAGCTAGTGTGCGTTTTGAATTTTCACTAACAGTGGGTTTGCTTTACGAGATGAGGTTGCTAGCCTAGCCTAACGCCCAACCTTCTCACTTCACCACCGGGCTAAGCGAGGTTTGGCTGGGGATCGAACCCCGGACCACTTGCTTGAAAATAAAATCAATTAGTAATTGCCAAAATCACATAACTACTTATTTACGTTTTATATACACATTGACTACCACCCATGATGTTAAATTGACTGCTGTAGGAAAAGAAAAGGGCAAACTATGATTGGTTTTAATGATTTTTTTTTCAAAAAGATACACATCGCCTATTGTGTATGAATCATAGAAGGTAAAGAGAATATTGTCCATTTTATATACTCTTAGTAGCTTGTATGTAATTGGACATACTGTTTTGGAAAATCACTCCTGACCGATCTATTTATAATATTGACGTTTATTTAGACATTTCAACTAACTTTGTATCATTAGGCATCTCCCTCACCCCCACCCACCCCGTCTAGACTGTGTATCATTCATTTGACATTTGCATATCTATCACATGCTGATTTTTGACCTAGATTACACATTTGCTTTTGTCCTTGTTTAATCTTTACTTCTAATACTTCTCTTCATGGTGAATGGTGGTGTGCATATTGACAATGTGTGTTGTTGAACGACATCAGCCTGTTTGAGTGAATGAAGGTCATTCTGACCCTACCCCTTTCCCCGAACAGTCTGTGGGAAGCCTTGGCGTGTGTGTGTTTGTGTGTGATTCCTGTGGACAGAGCTTTTCATCCCACCTCGTTGGGAGTGTTCTCCTCGATTCTAAAGTACCCTTCAAAAGTTAAACTTTAGTTAACCAGCTTAGGCTTGTACTACTGTGGTGAGAGCTGGCTGCTGCTAGCCAAATTAGTAGATGGTAATTTAAGTCAATGTTTACATCCTCAATATATTGGTCGTCGGAAAAATATGAACAAAGACTGATTCAACAACCAACCACAGCAGACTTTGCGTGTGGGCGGATACAGTTAGCATATAGATGATCTGACATTCAAGAAATAGTCACAAAGAGATGAAAGATGAACTTTAAGTGAGAAATAACCAATCAGAAGACTGTGTTTTTCTCCTAACAATAATCTATAATAATTATTATTGTTTCCTTTAATTCCTAGAGGAACATACGGCTTCAGCCGTGCGTCTCCATTACGTTCGGTTCTCTGCCAGAGTCTTCACCTGGCTCCAAGTCTGCCCACACGTTTTCATCTCCTCTTTACATGACCTCCTCCAAGTCACCCTAACACTGACGACCAACCCGCCGCTTCCCTTTCGGGTTCCACTCGAGCAATGGCTTGTCTAGTGATGTCACCTGATGGTTTGTTTCCTCAGAGTATGGCCAGCCAATCCATCTCCATTTCTTCCTGCCTATTTGTTTCACAATCGGTTCCTACTGGGTTGGTTCGCTCATTACCAGAGATCTCTGTTGCTGATCTTTTCTGGCCAGCCATCTGATACTGAGTGGTATTGAGCGAAGACAACTGTTAATGAAGGTCTGCAGTTTGTTGAGATGCTCTTTATGACACGCCAAGTCTCTGATCCCTTTATTAGTACTGACTTCACATT